AGTGTTGAGGCCAGGTGCATGCACAGGCCTGTCCCCCGTCCCCAAGAAGGACTTCTATGGGATACAGAAGCTTCCTGTTGTGTTGTTCCTTCCTGTGCCTCCTGGTTTTCCTTAATTACTACTGACACCTGGGAAGAACCCCACCTGCTGAGAGGGGTGAGCATTAGAGGACTCACTTCTGCACTTTGGTTTTCCTGGCACATGGTCCTGCTGTTTGCAAGCAAGTCCTGTGAGCTAGGTGTCAGGCAGGGGGCTCACGCAGTGGCCTCTGAGGTGAACAGTATCATGTCACCCATTTTACAGATGTGGAAAATGAGGCCCAGACTGGCCAGGTCATGTGAGGTCAGGGACACCTAGGAGTGGGTCTGGGCTCTGTACTCACAGCTGAACCTCAGTGCCACCAGTCGCAGGTGCCTGGGACTCCTCAGGACGTGCAGAAGCCTCAAGCTGAAAGAGTCAAAAGAACAGAAATTTATATCCTGTCACTGACATTAGCATAGTTAACAGCTAATAGCAAATTGCTGCTCCTGCCAGTAGTTCTATTTTTAGAAGATTAAAATAGAACATGATACAGGTAATCACTGTATTTTTAGAAACTGAAGTTAACCTTGTATATAGGCGGTTACAAAAGGAATAATGGTCAGGTCTGAATTGGGGAGCTGTGATCCGTCGCGCACGTACACGTGTGTCTAATGATACGTAAGCGTGGCTTCTGCAGATGCAGGCGGCTCTGGGGGAGGGCCCAGGAAAGCTGGCTTTGTTGGGGGAGGGGAGTGCTGTGGACTCTGGAGTGAAATCGTGGTGACAAGTGACCTTAAGCACACATGCAGGCCTGAGCACTTGGTGTCGGATGCAGAGGGGCGGTCTGGGCTCTGAGGAGGCGCGTGAGGGACGCAGGTCATGCGCACAGCGTGCCCGGGAGGCTGGCATCTCCCGCAGAGCTGCTAAATGCTCCCAGCTGTGGCATTTGGGTGGCATGATTTGTGTGTCCCCTCTCCTTAAAATAAAGAGTTATGTTTTAAAAATGTTACAAACTAGATACAATGTTTAGAACAATGCTCGGTATGTTGCTAGTAGTGCAAAAGGGAAAGAAAGGGAAACCAGAGATGGTTTAAAGCCTCTGACACAAGCTGCACCTCTGACAGCCCCCTTTCTGCAGGACCCCTGGCTCCCAGCTCTGGGAGGCCTCTTTGGACTGGTTGGCTCTGTTTGTCTGTGTCTCAGGGCTGTAGGTGAACCCTGGGGTACATGGCGCAGGTCCGGGCAGAGGGAGCGCTCTCCAGGACCCAGGTTCAGCAGCGCATCTCCCCGTGTGATTCACGAGACATCCTCTCTTGTCGTCCTTTCGCCGCAGCATCTGGCAGCGGGGCTGTGCCCAGACTTGACAGTCCAGTGTCAGGCTGCAGAAAGGGACCCTTCCATCTGGAGTGTGGGCAGGTAGGTGGAGCATGGCAGCTTCTAGGGAGGAAGCACCTTCCCTAGACCCTGAAGGGCTGGATCGATCCCTTGAAACCCACTTCTCCCGGGGAAGGTTGAGGTGTCAGGAGAGCCTGGTGTCACGTGTCACTGCTGATGGCGAGCACTGAAACTGTCAGACTTCTGGGTGCTTCCCCACCAGTGGGACAGCACCTCGATTCTGTACCTGCTGCTCCTGCCCCTAGGTGAGCCTCTGGAGGGAGATTCGAGCCCCTGGCAGCCCCCAGGCAGCAGATGGGGATGAGTAGCCACTGCGTAGAGCTGCCCTGGTGAGACACTGGGGAGACTGGTGGTTTGGGGGTCACACAGACATGTTGCTTGTCACATTGGCACAGTCTGTGATTCATGGTCACCCTCCCCTTGTCGTGGCAAGGGGTTCCAGGTCTTTGGGCTCGTCTTTAGGGTTGAGACCTGGGTACCGAGGATGAAATGGTGTTGGTAACACTTGCTTGTCTTCGCCATGGCCCGTGGCCCTAGAGGGCAGTCTGTGCCCCCTCAGCACCGTTCCCAGGGCCTGATGCGTGTCCGGAGCACACTGGGCTCCTGACAGTGTTTCTTAGAGACATGCAATGAAACCTGGGTGTTTGATTGAGCCAGGGGACATCTATGCCCTTCAGGTCTGTCACCTACCTTCTTTGAAAGCACCTGCTTTTTGGCTTTTGTCTCCCTCCTTTAGGGATGAGGCTGTGGTGTCTGCTTCTGGTGTCCTGGTGAATGAGTGACTTGGGAGGAGCCGAGGGCGGGAATTCCAGTTGTCCAGGGCTCAGGCTACTGCCGGCCTTCTGCTGCGAGTGTTGGGTGACAGGCCCTCTGCTCAACCTCTGCAGTGCCTGTGTGTTTAGACCCTCCTGCTGTTCGCAGGCATTTTCACAGGGTGGCTCCTTTCTGGAGAGGGGGCTCTTCCTAATAACCTAATGCCAGCTCAGAACACCCTCCCGCTAGATCTAAGTTGGACCTTGTTCCACAAGATGTGGAAGGTCAGGGCTGGGGCTCAAGTTCACAGACTGCCTCGATGTCAGCCAGCCAGCTTCTGTTCCGAGCCCAGGCAGAGCCTCTCTCCCTGACCTGTGCGGCGTGTTCGGCTTCAGGTTACGTGTGGAGTCCATCATGCTCTTACCCAATGGCGGTGTTTCCTGGGCTGCCAGCTACTTCATGCATGTGATTAATCTCTCTCTGGTCCTCAGCACGATGTACCGCAGGCCAGTGCCCAGAACTGGCTGAGCCACGACCGGCCGAGCCCCACGGTGTGTTAAACCACACGCGAAGCTTTAGACACACTGATACCGCACGTCTTGCACTTCCACTCGAGGTGGATGACACGGAGGTGTGCTGGTGTTCAGCTTCAGCGCGGGCGGAGGGCGTGCTGCCAGCGTCATTCGTTCACATGGCTGTGCAGTATCAAGGCCTTCAGGACGGGGTCGACCCTGGCTCCATCCCACGTCGAGCTCGGTGCCGCCCTGAGCCACGGACCACCAGGGGCAGGAGCTTCCTCACTGTGAAACGAGGATGCTTGCTGGTGTCTGGTGTCTTAACTGCTTCTGGTTCTAAAGTTTCACTCAGATGGAAGCTGAGGGTGGACCTTGAGGAGGTGGCTGGAGGAGGACAGTTCAGGGACTATCTTGGCTGGTGGAGCCAGAGAGAACAGCCGCACTTCCTCAGAGCCCTGCTGCAGAGCCCTGAGCAGGTGGTCTCAGCACCTGGCTGGGTCCCTGCCCATCGGGCAGCTGCAGCTGGACGTTTCTGAGGTTTGCACAGTGGGCCAGAAGTCAGAGTGTGTGTATATGTTCCTGAATTTTTCAGTTCTGAAAATGAATCATTCCACTTATAAGTGAAATAATGTCCCCTATTTCTTTCCAAGAGAAAGGTTTAAGACCTGTTTCCCATCACTGTCTCGAGGTCTCTGTGTGAGTGGCATTGGAGGTGCTCATGGCCTTAGGTTCACAGTTCTGTGGTCAGGCCCGCTCAGTGGCCGTGCTCCTGGAGACGCCCCCATTGCCCGTAGTTGGGCCTGGTGTTTGCTCCCAGGGTCAAGAGCACCTCCATCCTTCCTCGACTCAGGAGCATGGACTATCTTACCCCCAAGCATGCCGTCTTCTTATAACTATTTTGATACCTTCAAAGGGCCAGAATTGGGGGGAGGGGGCTGGTTGTGGGAGGGGCTACATACTGGTGTTTGGTTCTCCAAGCTGCCCAGGAGCACAGACCCCGCAGGTGCATTCAGAGCCGCTCCATGCCCTCCCATGGGTGTCGGGTAGAGGGGCGCTCGCAGACCATGGTGGAGGGCACCGTGGGGGCCGCACGCCCCCTCCCTCGGGTTGTCTCAGCTCCCAGGAGCAGCCTTTCAGACCTCAGGCCTTTCACTGCCTTTGTCCTTAGACTTGAACATCTCCAGACACAGGGGTGTTGTGTAACTTGTAACACAACTTGAAGGCTCTGCGAAGTGTTACCCATTTTGGATAAAATGCAAGGTTTTATTACCGTTAGTCAACCTGATGTTATTTGTTCTTGTCATGATTTGAAAGTCTGTCTAAGGGAGCCGAAGGCTGCTCCATGTAGCTCGTGTCTCCTCCCTCAAGTCGGTAAGGAAGGTGCCTTCCGCCCTCCACACTAGCCAGGGTGACGCCGTGCCTCTCACACAAGCCTCGTGGCACACTTGTCAGGAGCTAATTTAAAGAAGCGTAATTCCTGGAAGTTTTGCCAGTTTTCTTTCTTTTCTCAGAGAATCTCAGGCCTGTCTACACGGGCCTGCTGCAGGCCTGGGTGGTGCACGGGCCCTGGGCCCAGCCCCGCAGTAGCCTGACCATGCAGACACCGCCCCTTGAAGACAGTCCAAGTCGAACAGGATGTAACAGAAACCGTCCCTTACGTTGTCAGCTCCTGGCCAGGTCTTTTTCTAGAAGGTTTCCTGTGTCGTCCGTTTCCTTGACTATCCCACCCGCACACCCACCGCTGCTTTAAGCGAAGCTGCCTTCGGGGGCTGTTTCCCCGCAGCACACAGTAGCTCTGCTCCTAGTACCTGTACGCTGCGACCGCCGCAGGAAGCTGACTTCTGAGGAACACAGGGGGGCATAACGTGGTCGCTGACAAGTAAACTGAACAGCTAAGACAGGGTTTGGCTGGAAAGTGGGGTTTGCCAGTTGGGGAACTGCACTCGGGGACGACTGTTCTAGTTATTCTACCTAGGGTCTTTTATTTTCTGATTCAGCAAATAAAAACAACCACGATGGGATTCAGTCCATCATCTTTTAAAGTAAAAGACTGCAGCAGGCCCACGTAGACAAGCCTGAGGTTCTCTGAGAGAGAAAAGAAATAAAACGGGCAAAACTTCCAGGAATCACGCTTCTTTAAATTAACTCCTGACAAGTCTGCCATGATGCCTGTGTGAGAGGCGCAGTGTCACCTTGGCTAGTGTGGACACGCATTTCTGTGGTTCTCGAGGAGCTGCTCTGAGTCTTCTGAGTGTAAAGGGTCCTCACTGACATCTGCGCAGTTTCTGACACAAACGCTCTCTCTCTGTCCTGCAGATGCACTTTCTGGCCGAGACCAGCCCGTGGAGCTGCTAAACCCTGCGCGTGTGAACCACGTGCCCAGCACTGGTAAGTCCACACACCCAGCCCCAGGCCCAGCTCGCCTGCGAAGGCTGTTTCGAGGTTCCACTTTCTTGGGGGAGCATGGAGAGAAAGGGGTGGAGTGACCAGCTCCAGGAAGCTGGGGGCCTTTTCCTGGGCTGCCTGTCCTGCAAATGGAATGGGCACTGGCCGGATGCTCCTCAGGGGGCAGAGATGGTCCGTGCTCTCAGCCGCAGTGCCAGAGGTTGCATCTGAGCTGGAGCTGCGCCAGAGGTTCCACGCTGGGTGTTGGCCACAGGCCACAGTGGTGACACTCTGTCCGTGGCCCCAGGCTTTTCAGTGGTAAACAGAGTCCATGGCATTGTTTCCTAAGCCCCTTTGATTCTTTAACAAAAAGCATCAGCTGTGATAAGTCTCTCATTGCCTATGTGGTATTTTTAAGTAGGATGCTTTCAGCAAAGTTTCCCAAGTCTACATGGCCGTGGAAAGTTTTTCTTTCCTTTTTCTGTGAAATATCTCTCTGCGCGTGGTGGCCTGCAGGGTTTCAGCTCAGAGTGGGTATTGTTTGTTCCTCACAGGCCGCCTGGCCTTCCTTCCGAAGGCTGGCGCATGAGAGAGCTATTGTCCCCCTGCCATGTGCATTCTCAGGCAGCGTCCTGAGGCAGTGTGCTGGACCCCGGCCCTGGCCATGTCCTGGAGGCCTCTGTTTGTGGTTTTCACTCTGTGGCGGCTCCTGGACTCACACTTCCTGTGGCCACTCTACGCGCTCCCTCCATGAGCAGGGAGGTGGCTGACCCCTCCTCTGCCCCGGCCCCCATCAGACCCACCCATCCATCACCTCACTCCCCCAGGCCCCTGAAAAAGAAGGCAAAGCTTGCAGCAAGGCTGCGAGTGCCAAAGGAGAGGCTTCTTTCTGTGCACAGCGGCTTTCTGAGGTTTGCCCAGGACCACTTCGGCCTTTCCCCAGACACAGCCGGACTTTCCTCTGCAGTGCTCCTCAAAGGCACTCGTCCCTGGCGTGGTGCTTGGCCCCCGCAGGGGTGCCGGTCTCCCCTCTCTGTCCTCCCCACCTGCCAGGTAGTTTACTTTTACCCGGGTTGAGGTACTTTCAGATGGTTGATGGAAACGCTGGCTTTAGCAGTGCTGATTCCCTCTTTCTGTTCCCTTTGTTTAAACACCGAGTCCTTATGCACTTGGGTGTTTTGAGACAATTTCCTGGTGCCCCCCAGGTGTGGGGCAGAGGAAGAGCTTTTCACGTAGCTGGACAGAGCGTAAGAAGTGGTAAATGTGGGTCATGTCTCCAGGTGATCCAGAAGGGGCAAGCTTCAGAGGGGCCTCCGGTTTGGGAAGCAGCCCTGCCTGCTGAGACCTGAGGTGGGCGCCTCCTGCCTCCTGCGGAGACAGACCCTGGACTTGACTTTGGGGGGGAGGGGGTTCGTCCTCAGTCTCCCCCTGCCTGTAACTGCTTATGTGTGGCACCCGTCTCTTCCTGTTGCTCTCTTCTTGTTTAAACGTTTTAACTGTAAAATAGTGCTGCCCTAAAATGGAACACAAAACCATTTGCATGCAGCTGAGGTACAACAGGTATCTGATTGCTGTCATTTTTAGGTTAGCATCTTATTTCCTGGGTTTTGAAGATGTGAATGGCACATCATGGGCAAGGCTACACCCTTTCTCCCTTCCCAGAGGCCACCTGTCATCTGTCCTCTTCCTTCCCAGGGCTGGGTGGTGTCCTGTGGAAGCCAGGTCATCAGCTCCAGGTTAGCTGGGGAGAGATGCTGGGGTTTGACGACAGGAGAAGGTGACAGATGGTCACCGAGGAGAGCAGGCCTGTTTGGGAGGACATGCCACCTGCGCCGTGTGCTGGATTTATAGGGACTTAAAAATAGTTAAGTCATTTGTTTCTGAATCATTGTAAGTTTTTTGAAGTAACATTCATTTTTTAAAAAATTTTAAAACCACCATGTTTATTATAGAAAAGAGAGATGGTACTGAATGTGTGGGGTGTTGATTTCTGGACTGGGAAGGCGAGCTCACTGGGTGCTGGGCAATGTGGCGCCCCCCAGCCGGGCTGAGTGAGGGTTCCAGGGAAGGCCGGGCTGCCCAGACACGGCAGAGGAGAGCAGAGCCCTGGTGGCAGCAGGATGCACGGGGGTGCTGCTGTAACCGTGCGTTAGGCGGGGGCTTCTGTCCATCCCTGCAGGGGTCTTCACAGCAGCTTTGCCAGAAGGAAGGCAGCCTCCTTCAGGCAGATGAACTCTGGGGCAGGGACCTGTGTCTGCTCTCCGGTGTGCTGTGGGGAAAGGCGGCCTTGGAGCATGGCCCGAGCCTCGGCACCAGAAGGGAGTGGGGCTGACTCCCGGGGCGTTGCACTCGAGAAGAGCGTCTTGTGCAGGTTGCTCAGGTCTGATGCGCTGGTCCAGTGCCCTCCACACATGCTCCCGCTAGGGCGTGCTCTTGTCTGAGTTCAGAGGTTTCTGTTCAAGCTCTATAACAAAGGTGCGATTTTTAAAAGAAAATTCTAGAATCGTAAAGAAACTACAGAAGCTCTAGAGAACTTATATAAACTAATAAAAAAGAAGTGAGGTTTGACTTTAGCCATGGGTTTCCAAATCGTCCAGGGTATTTGACCACCGCTCTGTCAAAGGGGCTATTGAATTTCTGAACACTCCTGTGGGTTTTGAACAGGAACTGTTTGAGGTCAGCTGGCTTGGAGCCTCTGCTGCCTCCCAGGCACGTTTGCTGCTGTTTGGTTTGCTGAGGGGCCTGTGCCACAGGTACGATAGGAGACCCGTGGGCTTGGGGAAAGCTTGGGCAGCCTCCCTCCATTGGCCCTGGAAGCTGTTCATTACCTGGTAAACAGATCCCCTGGGACAGAGCCTGAGCTGGACTGCTTCTCATTCGAGGCTCCTTGGTGTTTTCAGTGCAAAGCTGGGGTTCTCATGGGGTAGAGGATTAGTGGCCACCTTTGGAGGCTCCTAAGGGCTACTCCCGCTGAAGTACCAGGCAGGATGGTGGGAAGGACAGAGCTCTCTCTGGCTTCCTCATTCTGGTGCCAGGCTTGACACCCTGAGCTCACCTCACCTTCTGGTGGAGGAGCTGTCGCTCAGTAAAGAGCTTCGTGCTGGTGCATGGCAGTGGGGGCTGCGGGCACACAGTAGGAGGCGTGCAGGTGCGGGGGACACAGTGCACTTTTGCAGACTGAAGGAGCATGTGCACCAGCGTAACAGGGCTGCGGGGCTTTCCTGTGCTTATTTCAAGTTTTGGAGCAGAAATGAAACATGGGACATAAAGATATCAATGTAGAATCTAGCCGTTTGGAAAACAATTCACAGAGTTCAATTTGCTTAAATGAATGTTGAGCATTTGCCTCTTCCCTGCACCAAGTTCACTGGAGCCCTCTACGCAGCTTTGACTTAGGGCCGGATTATGCATGTGCAGCGCCCATAGTGCAGACCTGAGGGTGCTTGTGGCCATGCCTATAGAGGCTGTGATAAGAGTTTTTGGAAATGCCTCAGTCACCTTGTTAGCTGCGGTGCTGAGGAACTCTCAGATCCCCATTTCTCCGCTTAGGATCTGTAAAAGGTGTGACCTTTCGAGCGTGCGCGTGTCAGACGCCCCCTCTAGCCCTTCTGGTCGAGAGCTCTTGCGGGCAGTTGCTGTGCTGGGAGGCTGTGGTGCCAGGAGCAGTCTCTCTCCTGTGGCACAAACGTGGACTGTCTGCCCAATTTGCCCCCTCCTAGCTCCATTGGGGAGCCCTTCATGCCCCCACCTGCCCCTTCCCCGCCCCTGGGCTGTGAGTGAAGGGTCAGGGCTGGGCCTAGCCGAGCTGTGCAAGGCCAGGGAGCCAGCAGACCTGGGGCAGCAGGGTCTGCCTGCCTCCAATGAGCAGGTGGTCTGTCCTCTGATCCTGGGCTGCCTCTGGCGTCAGGTGGCTGCTCAGCCTGGCAGAGGCTCAGGGGACAGGAAGCACAACAGGTGTCCCTGGCTGCGCAAAGCTCTCCACCTCTCTTGTGTTTCTAGTGCCCTCTGGTTTGTACGTTCCAGCCGCTGGCTCTGCAGCTGCTTCCAGCATGACTGTCTTCCCCACCCTCCCCCCTTTGCCAGCCCAGAAGCCTCTGTGATGACACCAAGGACTCACCATTTAGAACAAGCAAACACCAGGCAGTGCAGGGAAGCCTAGCAACCAGAGTGCTTCCAGCTTCCAGTTTTGTTGAGAGCCTCTGGGAAGCTCCTTCCATGGTGCTCTTCTCTCCCCATGAGCTCTGTGAAGTTGCAGGCCTGTCTGCTTTCCTGGTCAAGCACCGCACCCTGCTTACTACTAAATGCAATGTACCTGCAGTCCAGCCCTCGTGTCTGCTGCCCAGGTGCAGGGTGTCACTCATTACCTGGACGTGACACCTGGCCCACTGCAGGCCTCCTCCTGACAGCTGCTTTCCTGGTGGACAGGCCAGCAGAGGGGCCAAGGCGACCACGGGTGGCGGGGATGGGTGTGTTTGCTGGGTACTGCCAGCTCTCACCCGAGCCCCTGCCCTTATCTGAGGGGTGGTGACCCGCCAGAGTTGTGAAGTAAACGACATTTGCCCTCTGGTGGTAGTGTGACCTGCCACCTGACTGTGGTCCTGTAGACACCAGTGTGACTGAGTGTGACTGGCCTAGGGAGGTTTCCCTCAGAACACTGCACCGGTCCCCTTGTCTTCCCCGGGGAACAGAGGTCCCATCTCCTGGGCTGGGGGCCCTGACCCTGCCTTCCCCACCACAGGGTGTGAGTTGTTTTTTTGCGTCTGGGAAGGCCATGCCCCTTTCTCACCGTGGGCTCTGACTCTGACCTTGTTCTTGGCACCTGTCTGCACTGTGCTGGTGATGTTTTAGTAGCCCACAGACTGTGCTGGTAGGATCTTGGGTTGTGGGGACACAGAGTGGGGTTCAGGCTGCCTTGCCCATGCCTCCTGGGCCCCCACAGGCTGAGCCTACCCCTGCTGCCCAGCCCAGGCCACTGCCCAGCGACAAGATGGCCTTGACCCGGT